CAAGCCTTTTTCACATCTTCTGGGAAAGGCAATCACAAATCCTAGACTTAGATATTTTAAAAGATCTTCCAGACAGATGCTATCAGAAAGGCATTTCAAATCCTGTGGCAACTTCAACTGAATGAAATATATATTACAAATATTCCCTTTCAATGACATATGCTTCAGATTTGTCTTAAAATAATACAGGCAATGGAAAGGGGGTAGGGGACTGTGCTGTGTAGTAAGAGAAAATGAACACTATTTGTAAAATGCTGAAAATTGTGGAAACTAAATAACAAGTACACAAAACCTCAATATATCATTCTCACTTTATGTTTGAAAATTGCCGTGATAAAAAAAGTTAAGCAAACTACTCTCTCTAACAAACAGGATTTAGTCATCTAAATTTAAAGTTAGGTTTGCCCCATTTTCAGGGTTTTGGAATTGTTGTTTTTTGGTTTTGTGGGGTTGTTTTTGTTTTTGTTTTTGCTGGAACTGATAATGCCCAACTCAGGGTGACCTCAAACACCAGGATCTCACAACTGGTTGTGTATTGGAACATCATGACCATAAAAACAGCAAGGGCCCCGTAGGGAATAGCCATATCTGACCAATTTCACATAAGGGTACTGTCCCCATCTATAATATCAAAAACACAAAACAATTCCCATGAGGCAGGTAAGTCGCCCCCCCCCCACCCCCAGACAATGATCCTGCATCTTTTTCTACTCATCCCAGTATCAATCTTACTTTTTTAATGGATCCAAAATCTGATGCCATAGCCTATAGGCCAGACAGAACCATACTGGGGAAGTTAAAAGGCTGAAATTCAGGTTAGAAGTAGAAGAGCAGAACACAGTCAGGACAGCTCCTAAATTATGCTTGCAGATACACCAGCCTTGAGCCTTACAGCTTTAGGATAGGGTTATAGAGCTCTCAGTCCTCCCAATTATAGCTCTCTCTACCACAATCCTCCAACAAACTTGGGCAAAAGGCTCTTTGCTTGAGTTCAATAGTATAGCAATCCCAAGGTACACTCGGCCTCACATCTCCTGTCAGGCCTCTAGTTCTCCACTGTGGCAGCTATGACTGTTGCTCCCATAGGCCCTAATCTGTCTGGTGTAAGAATCTCTGATCTGCAAGAACACAATTTGCTGGTGGCACAATTTCTTTCATTCTGCTACTGGGTCCTCTCAATTTAATGGAAAGACTTAAGAGTTGATGAGACCAGCCAATCCCCTTGTGAACAGGCTAACAACACACATTATTTACATATTCCAGTCCATCCACATGACAAAGTTACAATCAAATGGCTAGGAAAACCATACAAAGTCACAATCAAATGGCTAAGAAAACCATTTTGAAGAATAAATTCATACTACCACTAGGACCCATAGGATTTTCACTGGCTGATTTTCAGAAGCAGATCACTGTCCTTTCTTTTTGGTTCACCTTAGCTGAAATTCCACTGGAACATCATTGCAATGTACATGCTTCAACCGGGAGGCCATTAAAATACCACAGAGATTGAGATTGTTGAAAGCTTCAGTTTGCTTGGCTCTACAGTCAACACTCATGGTACTACCAGCCAGGAAATTAAAAGACTAACTGCATTGGGAAAGTCTGCTGTCAGAGACGTCTCCAAAGTACTGAGGAGCAACTATATTAGTCTGGAGACTAAGGTGCACCTGATACAGGCCATGGTCTTTACAAGTACTTGCTATGTATCAGGAGCTGGACAATGACTAGGGATGATAGAAGGAGAGTTGATGCCTTTGAGCTTTGGTGCTAGAGAAAAGTATTGAATATACCATGGACTGCTAGGAGAACAAACAAGATCATCCTGGAGAGAGTGACGCCAGACTGCTCCTTGGAGGCAAGGATTCTGAAGCTCCGTCTGACATACTTTGGACATGTTGCTAGGCGGGATCAGTCCTTGGAGAGGGACATCATGCTTGGGAGGTTGGAGGGACAGAACAGGAGAGGAAGACCCTCAGCTAGATGGATTAATTCAGCCACTGGGGTACCATGGGGATAGGCGTGTCAGAGACAATAAGATTGGCAAGGGATAGAGTAAGGTTTAGGGCTGTTGTACATAGGGTCACTATGAGTCACAGGCGACTCAACAGCACACAACAAGAATAACAAACATACAGAGCTTATCTGTCACTTTGTTGAACTGTTGATGGCTTGCATTTTCTGTGATGCTGTAAGTTATGTCACTACCATTTCATTTTTGCCATGGTCAAGGTAAATATCAGCAGGCTCAAGCATGGTGAACAGGTTCCAACAGAGCTTCCAGACAAGGTGAACCAGGAGGAAAGACCTGATGATCTACTTCCAAAAAGAACTGGTTCTTGAAAAATGAATGAATATCAATAGAGCATACCCTGATATAGGGAGCTCTGGTGGCCTGGTGGGTAAGGAGTTGCAGTGTCAACCCAATGCAGGGGTCCTAATCTACCAACTGCGCTGAGGGAGAAAGATGAGCAATCTCCTCTTATGCAATTTACAGCTTCCAAAAATTTGCAGGAAGGTTGGCTATGAATTGGTTCCAACTAAACAGCTCACATACACATACATACACACATTATCTGATATTCTGCTGGAAGATATACTCTTCAGGTTGGAAAGTACTCAAAATATAACTGGGGAAAGCTGCTTCCTCAAAATAGTCTGCTCAGTAAAATACAGTAAAGTAATAGATTCTCAATGAGATGGACTGACAGTATATGCAACAAGTTCAAACAAAGCAAGGATTATGATAGCATAGGGCTGGATATTGTTGTTCTATCATACAAGGTCACTAGGAGTTAGAATAAAATAGATGACAACCTAACAACAAAGGTACAGCTCAGTCATTGGAAACTCCCCAAGAATTTTCTGTGCCCCAAAGTGCTTAATCCCTCAGCTCCACAGCCCACCTCTAAAAAGCTGGAGGGAATCCCACATCCAGTCTAAGCATAGCAGATACTGCCTTCAGAAGCTGTTTGCCTTTGAAACAACAAAAATCAATGTAAAATGCCAAGTTCAAATTCTCAGACTGCCATCCCAAAGACAGATACAAATATAACACTTAAGAAAATTTAATTTAAAATTAAACTGAACTAAGATGAATTTTTAAAATGTTTATCCATTCTTTATTCATAAGTTGCTGCCCTTTATTTATATAAGTCATATGAGCAGCCATAGCAGTGAAGAGAATAAATGTGCTCCCTGGAACATCAACCTAATATGAAAACAGGCTTGAGGTGATGATCTAAATATGGGTGATTAGCATAACTTTGAGAAATGTGATTTTTAAATCATTAAAATGGCATTTGGCTTCTAATGAACAACTATCCCAATTAATCTAGGATAAAATGATGATGCTTGGACTTTCTGAACAACATATAAAACACAGAACTAGTTTTGCAGGAAAATTAAGCAACCAAATCTACATTATGCCTATTAGTATTAGGTGGTATTTAGTCAGTTACAAATTAAGGTGACCCTAGGTTTGGAGGCTCATGTTTGAAGCCGTTGTATTCTGAAAACTGGGTTCTTCTTGTTTGCGTCAAAGGTCAGGTATGGACTGTTTGGTTGTTTTTTATTTCATTCACAATCGTGTGTGAACAAACTGGATTTGCTGGAGTTGGCTAACAATGAGCTGTGGGCTGGAAGCCTCTTGTTTGGAGCCAATCAGGGCCTGGTAGGTGGGCCAGTGTATTTAAAAGTTAGTTAGATCCTCAGGCCTACGGCCCTCTGGTCTGTGTTGTGTTTGGAATGAACATTCTTCTAAGAGGTACAGTACTGTCTGTCAATTCATTGTACAGCGGTAACCTGGGGTTGCTGTGACACTGAATGCTGTGACACTGGTGTGTCAAATGCCATCAAGTTTACCCATGGTGGACAATGTTTGGTGGTGCTCTCAAATTAAGACAGGTGTGGAAGTAGGAGTGGCATCCATTTCCTAAACAACATGTCTCTGGAAACTCCATGAACTTGGAGAATTTACAATAGTTATAGAACAGGGTTCAGGTCTTTTGTTCATAGGGTCGCAATGAGTCATGCTTGACTCAATGTCACTTAACAACAACAACAACAGGTATAACACAAAGAACCACTGCCCAATCATGAGCCATCCTCACAATTTCTCCTTCTACCAGGAGATATTTTTCTGCAACTACTAGGTTTTAAAACAGGTTTTGGGTTCAGAGAGGCCTTTCTATAAAAATAGCATCAAAAGGGAAAATCTCAGTCCCTGCCTTCCCAAAAATTACGCCAAAACAAAGGTGTTAGTTAACCTTTTACAGGATTAGCCAAGGTGCTAACGGCATCCAGGGAAAAGATCTGTACCACATCCATCTTCCAGTGGTCTGAGGCTCAAAAAAAGTCCACTGCAGTCAAGGAGGCTCTGGTGGCCAAGTGAGTAAGGAGTTGTGCTATGAACCCAAAAGTAAGCTGTTTGAATCCACCAATTGCTACAAGGGAGAAAGATGGGCAGCAATCTTCTACTTACTGGAGATACAGTTGTGAGTCAGCTCCAACTTAACCACATATAACAATAGCTGCCAAGTAGACTGCAACTGATAGCATACTACCTCCTATAACACAGCCACATATGCAATGCACTACACCACTAGGCCACTACCAGGTTTCAAAAGCAGGCCAGATATCTCTGCAAGGGTGGCCCCAGACCAAACAAACTTCCCCACTGTGCCAACATCCACTTCAAGTTTAGCCATGAAGAAGACAGAAAAAAAAGCCACACGTGCTTATTGTGGACATCAAGGCCAACAAGCCGTGAAGAAACTCTGTGGCAGTGACATGGCCAAGGTAAACCACCTTGATCAAGTCTAGTAAAGAAAAGAAAACTGTGATGCTTTGAATGTAGCCAACAAAATTAGGATAATCTAAACCAACTAATTCTGAACTGACATTTGTATTTTCATTAAGGAAAATAAAACCCCAACCAACAGTAGAGAGAGAAAACTTTCTTTCCCAAACATTTTCACAAAACAAATGATCATCCTTACCAGTACTTTGTTTTCCACTTTATCTCCCTTGACTTCCAACTTGACTTTCTTCTTCACCGCAATTTTTATCTTTCTGCCAATAACATCCTTTATGCTTTCTGAAAGAAGGGGATAAGTTCCATTACAGTCTATCCTCAAAATAAAGAGGGAAGGAAAAGTATCAGGGTAGAGAGAGCATTTAGAATAGAATATGTGGTTGTTTTTAGTATTATTGTGTGCTTTTCATTTATTCCTTTTTTTCTTAGAAAGTGTGAAAGTTACCAGTATCAAATATATAATGAGTGCCTACTCTGTTCCTTGTGATGCATGCCCAGATACTGAGGCAACTATAATAGTTTGTTGTTGTTGTTGTTGTTGTTGTTGTTGTTGTTGTTGTTGTTAGGTGCCATCGAGTCACTTGCAACTCATAGAGACCCTATATACAACAGCTCTGAACCCTGCTCTGTCCTGAGCCAACCTTATTGTTTCTGACACACCTACCTCCATTATCCCAGTCACTGAGTCAATCCATCTCACCCAGGATCTTCCTCTCTTGTGCTGTCCCTCTACCCTCCCAAGCATGATGACATAATCTCAGCCCATATGAAAAATTTTCATCACAGTACAAAACCCCAAAGTACAAAGTGCCCCTTCAGTAGTCAAAAGCAATAGAAAAGAAATACATGAGAAGACAAAGTTGAAAATGAGGATGAAGGTAAGATGGTTTTCCTGGAACTTCTATGACACCTCAAGTCAAACAGATCTAAAGTCAAACTCATAACCTTTCCCCCAGCTCCTCCTATCTTATCGCCACTTGGTGGGTGCTAGAAACCTTGGTTATTCCCAGGGAGTATGTCACAAAGTCCTTCAATGTCTACCTCCTGAACAGCTCCTGACCTCTGGACACGAACTGGCATTTATCCCTGGACAGAAAGTTCATGGCCTCCAACCTAACAACCCATAACCAAACAGATCCTTCCGAAAGCATGAGACTAGTCACGTCACTCCTGGTCCTAAATTCTCCAATGAGTTGCAGCCATCATTCATTAAGATAAGCCCAAACCTCACAGAATGCCACTTCAAATCTTTCACCTCTTCTTAGCATAATGGATGATCACACACTAAATTCTAATGATCCCTGTCACCTCCATCTTCTGTGTTCTCAGGCTTTTGTATAAATTCTTTTCTTTCCTGGAATACCTATTTCCTATCTCTATGGTGGAGGGACAGTGCAAGAAAGACGACTCTGGATGAGATGGATTGACTCATGGACTAGAGTAATGAGGGTAGGTGTGTCAGAGACAATGAAGTTGGCTCAAGATAGAGCAGGGTTCTGGGCTGTTATACATAGTGTCACTATGAGTTCAGGTGAATCAAGTGGACAGCACATAACAACAACAACAACAAGTGGCCTAATGGGTGTGGAGTTGAGCTGCTAACTCAAAGGCAGTTCTAATCAACCAGCTGCTCTAAGGGAGAAAAAAGAGCAATTTCCTCCCATGTGATTTACAGCTTCTGAAAACTAGCAGAAGGATTAGCTATGAATCTGTTCTGATTCAGTTCAACTCAAAGGCACCTAACAACAATAACATCTACATATCCTTTACAATCCACTTCAAGGACCATATTCTTCTGTACATACTCCTTCAATTTACGTAGGGATTAGCTAATAGGTTCCTAAGAATCCATGGTGGTATAGTGGTTAAAGTTGGCTTTGCTGCAAGTCAAGAGGTCATCAGATCAAACTCCCCAACTGCTATACAGGACAGAGATGCTTCCATAAAAGTTTGCAACCACAGGAACTCACCGGGGCAGTTCTACTCCGTACTTTACAGTAGTGAATGGGAACTGATCCCTCCTCTAGGCTTCCATAGCACTGTGTATTCTATGTGTGTAGATAAGCTCTAGTGGTATCATGAGTTACACTTAAGTATCCCAGAACATCTGATTATGCTCATGTGAAACTTGTATTTGGACCAAGAAGCCATTGTTAGAACAGAGCAAGGAAACACCACATGTTTCAAAATTAGGAAAGAAGTGTGTCAGGGATGCAAGCCTCCATACTTTTTCAATCTATGTGTGTAACAGGTTATTCGGGAGACTGGACTTTATGAAGAAGAATGTGGCATCAAGATTGGAGGAAGACTCATCAACAACCTGTGTTATGCAGAAGACACAACCTTACTTGCTGAAACTGAGGAGGGCTGAATCATTTGTTGCAGAAGGTCAAGGACTGTAATATGAATTGAAACTCAACACCAAGAAAGCAAAGATTCTCACACTGAGCCAACTGGCAGCACCATGATAGATGGTGAAGAGATTGAGATTGTTAACAATTTCAGATTACTCAGTTTCATAATCAACACTCTTGGCACAAGCAGTCAGGATATCAAAAGACAAATTGCATTAGGAAAATCTGGTGTAACCTCTCCAGAGTACTGAAAAGCAGTGATGTTAGTCGAGACACTAAGGGGCGCCTGATCCAAGCTATGCTCTTCGCAATTACTTGCTATGCATCAGAGAGCTGGACAATGACCAACGATGACAGAAGAACTGACGTCTTTGAGTTGTGGTGCTGGAGAAGAGTACTGAACATATACCAGGGACTGCCAAAAGAACAAACAAATCTGTCCTGTAGAGGGTGAAACAAAGTTGCCCCTTAGATACAAGGATTTTTGAGGATCTGTCTAACATACTTTGGGCATGTTGTCAGGCGGGACCAGTTCTTGGAGATGATATCATGCTTGGAAGGGTTGAGGGACAATACAGGAGAGGAAGACCCCAGATGAGATGGATTGACACAGTAACAGGGTAGGTAATGAGGGTATGTCAGAGGCAGTGAGATTGGCTCAGGATAGAGCAGGGTTCAGAGCTATTGTGCATAGGGTCGCTATGAGTCAGAGTTGACTGAATAGACCATAACAACAACCACCTCATCAAGCTGTTAGACAAAAGTTCAGCCGTTTAAGTCTACCACAATTTCCTAAAGAGAAAGATAAGCAACATCCTTCCATAAGGATCATAAAACAACAAAATGTTGCCTGGCTCTTTGTTATTGTCTGTATCACAACATGTTTCTATAGTAGAATGTACACTGCAATCCACTGAGATGCAGGAAGAGTAGATTTTTTGCTTCTATATAAAATGTGAATTGTAAATGTGCATTTCATGGGCATTTCAGAAATTTACACAGTAAGGGAAATATGGATATAATTTTAACAAATAAAAAGATGTTTGTGAAAGGATAGTCAACATTTTCTTACTGGGCACACATCCCAAAAGTTTCACACCACTATGTCAGATAAGAGTGAAAGGGAGGGATGGGCACAGTCAGCACAGAGAAGGCTGTGGGAACAGGACAAAGCACAGCATGTATAGGCAGAGACAAAGAACCTGGGAAGAGCTTGGTGGGCTGTACATTCTCTATGCAGCTCCTATCTTATCAGAACTTAAAACATATCCAGATCACTCCTCCCTCAGGGAACTTCAAAGTGATGGAAGACAGGCTCTGAAAGAGACTTGACTCAAAAATGTATACATGTGTAAAGAAAAAGTGGAAAGCCAAACACCAAAAAGTGAAACATAGCTACCTCTAAGTGTTAATGTGAGTGGCATATTTTTTTATTCTTTATTATTCCTTGCATTTCCACTTTTCTAAAAAAAAAAAAATCTCCACTGCCATCAAGTCAGTTCTGATTCATAACAATACTATAAGACAGAGCAGAGTTGCTTCTCAAGGCTTCTGAGGCGGTAAATTTTCACAGGAGCAGCTTCATCTTTCTCCAGAGTCCCCGGTAGATTCAAGCCACCAGCCTTTCAATTAGCAGCCCAGTATTTAACCCACCACCCAACCAGAGCTCCTTTTTCCTCTAAAAAGCCTGTATTCATTTGAAAAAAGATACACAAGACACATATTTAAATTGTCTTGAGAGATCTGGGGAATATACACAGGGCTGCCATCTTGAACTGGCCAGAGCAAAACTCCCACAAGCACTAGAGAGAGAAAATAAGCAAGGGCAGAAGTTTGCCCTAACTTAGCTAGAGAGCAGGCCACTTAAAGAGCCAGAGAATCATGCCCACACTCACAAAAGCACATGGCATTTGGATCAGGGACACACGAGAAGGACAATACCTGATAAATGGGGGTAGTGGGGTGGGAGGCACATAGGAGACAGGTGACAGAATTCCAGGAAAGAAACAAATTCAACTTTTTAATATATACCAAAGTGTTTATTTTGAGAATCACAAATATAAATCAGGTATCTTATTTCCAACTATCTTTCACATCTTCACTCTGGGGCCTAGGTAATTACTTCAACTTCTCATTATCAGGCCAAAGGACAACTCATTATACAAATTAAAAATCTGCCACCCTCTTCAGTTAGCCTTTATCTCCGGACCAGTCAGACATGCCCTAGCCTAAAGCACTCTCCCCACCACCACCACCACCTCCCTCTCTCCTTCTTGCTACTCTCTCTCCTCTCTCAGGACCTCCGCAAGCATCTTCAGAGCCGCTGGCTGTTTGTTTTCTCTTCCAGTGGCGATCTGGAAATGTCCCAGCCTCCCAAAACTGGATGGGCCACTTACAGCTGATGTTTTTTTTATCTCAGGGGCTGCCTCCACCAGGACAAGACAGAAACAGAAGAAGGTTGAGAGTCTTAGGGGGAGGGAGAATTCTACAACTCTAAATTTGCATCTACAGCCAGATTGTTTCATTTGTTTTTAATTCAACAATATCAAGAGCCCTTCATACAAACTTGGCAACAGCTTCTTTACACCAACTTTTACCTAAGTGACTATGCACTAATGGAAGACAAAAACTCAAAAATTCCTTCCAAGTGTTGTGGCTCAAAAGGAGAAACAAGGGACAAATTCCACAAATGCTTATGAATGGGTGCTCAGAACTTTTTCTGCTGATCAGCACGGAGTACACACTAGCTTTTTGAACTGGAGACTGTGCAGTGTGCCAAGGATAGTACAGTAAGGAATATAGGTCACTAGGGCTCCAATACATGCACAAACACATACATACACTACCATGTTACAACATAATGTTACATATACATACACAAATACCTAAGATTAAATACTTAGTTTTCAAAATATTCCCTCTTCACCCTAGCTTAGCTTTGTCATTTTAACCCTCCGGATAATTAAGTTAAACTCCCAAGATTTAACAGCCAGCCTCCCCCCTCCAGCAGCTTCAAGACACTCGAACAATGGGTCACCTTGCATGGGTACCACACACTGGTTTCCTAAGAGATCCCAGATAGGGAGAATAGATAGGTTAATCATTATTAAAATAAGGCTTTTATCATTAACCCTCAATTTCCTGGCCCGAGTTTGCGTCACTCCTGTAACCCCTTAGCTCCCAGAATGCTAAGACAAACCACGCCTTGTCAGACTCGGTCATTACACCTAAACTAGCGACCCCTCCCCCAAGTATGTATGTCAGAGGAGGTATTGCGGGGCGGGAAAGGGAACCATAAATGACATGCGCCGGCGACAACCTACAGTATGTTCACCAGTCCTTACTTGGGCTTCGCTTGCCCGACTTCCCCAAGTTTGGGTTAGTGGGCTAGACGCTATAATGGATTCTCCTCGTTTTCAGAACTCTCCAATAATCAAAGCAGCCCACCTTCTTCTACTGCCAACTTTGACTTTCTAACTGGGGAGGGAGGAGCCGATCAGTGAGGAGCCTGGTCGGGGGCTCCCCTATATCGCCCTCACTGGGAGTCTGACGGGAACAAAGTTCCCGGCGCCCCCCAGCGACCCTGCCCAACACCACTCCAACCAAAGGATCCCCCAGACTTTGCAGGACCTGCTGGGGGGCGGGGGGTAGAAGTGTGGAGGCGGGAGGTGGAGGTGAGGAGTGCGCAGACGGAGATGGAAAATCAACAGCCTGCGCGGGTCTTACCTGTCAACTCTCTGGGCACCTCAGAGCTCTCTTCGGACATGGTTGCCCTCTAGATGCCGGGGGCAGTGCAGGTCCAAGGCTGAATGACGGGCCCCCCGCCCTCCCTAGACCCCCTCAGTTTTCTTTTCCCAAAAGAGGTAGAGGCAGCTTGCCAATGGGAGTGGGCAAGAAAGGAGGGAGG